GCGCATCCACAGCACCCATCGCATCCACAGCACCCAGCACAGCCAGAGCACCCAGTGCATTCAGCTCACCCAGTGCCTTCCCCCTGCTCTCCATCCCTACAAGAGCATGGGAAGCCCCCAGGAAGGCAGCACATGGATGCGCTGGGGGAAGGCAGGACACAAGCACCCCTCACAGCACAAATGCTGCCTGGCTCTAGCTCGGGGCACAAGCCCAAACCAAGGATTTGCTGTCAGGGCTCCTGGTGTGTCTCGGTTCCAAACGCCCCTCAGGGCAGCTGTGAGCAGCATTCCATCTCCTGGCTGTGGAAGGAGCAATCCCATCCTGCGGAGGGAAGACGTCACAGCTGGAAGGTTGCTAAGCGAGCAGTTCCCTCCTTATGATGCACGACTTCATTACTCGGCTCCCGAAATGGATGTTACATACAAATGACATTTGCCTCCGAGCATACGAGCATCCCGAAATAGTGTGCGCCTCCCTGGGTTGGTTGTATGGGTTCCTGAAGAATGTCCCTATTGTCTGCGGGGTCTGCAGTGCTGGAAATCACTGCTGCTTCTGTCCTGATGCTTCACACAGGGCTTTACCACAGGCCAAATGTTGGGAGCAGCGGATGCAGCCGAGGGGAAGAGCCTCTCGCTGCTGCACCCCAGGGATGCTCACATGAGCATCCCCTGCATGAGCCTCTCTCTGCTGCACCCCAGGGACCAAACCCTGCTCACACTGCACCTTCCAGACCCAGGACAGCCACTGCATCACATCCCAGGCTCCCAGATGAAGGGAATTCTCAAGGGCCGCAGCCTCCCACTGTGCAGTCATGGCCACACAGGCAGTGCCTGGGGACCAGGAGGGACCAGCTGCTCCTGTGGCCATTTCATCTGCAATTGCTCAAACTCAGCTCAGCACAGGCTTTTTAGATGAGCTGAACCGTACAGATTAAAGGCATGGCACCAGCTCCTGCACCTTATGCAAGATAGAAATTAAGGAGGAAAAAGGAGAGGTTACATCCATCCTGAAGTGAGGAATCTGATGTTCACTTTCCCCCTGATTTCATGAGAACATCCCCAGCAGCTGATCCCTGCAGCACTGCTGTAATCTAGTGATATATTTTAATCCCATTATGTCACCATGTGCTTGCCCATAGACTGCCTGGACCAGGAGGAGCCGATGCTTCCTAATAGGCACTTCTGCTGCCCAGGGGTTCGCCTCGCTCACAATAGTGCCTTTGCCTTCTGCTGACATTAAAAGCGAGACCCTGCTGCTGGTTTCTGTGCTGCCGTTCTATGGTGGGGGCTGCTCCCATCCCAGTTTCCCACCTCGAGCTGCTGGGTCCGCTGCTGATCACTGGGGTTTAATTGCACCAGGGCTGCCCTGGCTGCTCGCCTGGAGGGGAAGAGAACATTCCCTTTAGGCTGATGGGATGCAAAGCCCTGCCCCACGGCACAGCACATCACATCACATCACAAGGGTGGCTGCATGCACAAGGATGCTCCTTGCTCCCAGCTGCAGCCGACTCCTTATTTCCCAGCATGTACCTTTGGGTTCCCATGTCATTAAACCACAGAGGTTTTGCCCTGTTTCATAACCAGGCATTGGGAAGAGCACCCCGAGCTGCAGCTCAGGGCAGGAGCAGCGCTGCTGAGCCCTCTCCGCTGCTGTAATCCCCTGGTACACGTTAATCCCATTACGTCTCCATGCAGCTGCTTCCAATTCTGGCCTTTGAAGAAGCGATGTTTCTTCATCAGCATTTCAGCTGCATGGGAGTTTTACTGCTGGAAGGAGCCTATGGAGCTGCAAAGCTTCTGCTCTCCTGTCTTGTCCCTCTTCACACTGATAGGAACAAAAACAAGCAGCAGGAAAGCAAACAGGAGCCTGGAATTCTGGACAAGAGCATCCATCAGATGCGGTCCCCTGCTCCCCGCACAGCGCAGTGCCCTGGGTACCACGGTGTGATCGAGGCAGGTTTGTCTCATCACTTCTGGACAGGACTTGATGTTCCCTCTGCCTCTGATACAGGAGATCTCCTCCACGGACCCACACAGCCCCTGTAGGGTGGGAAAAGCCATAATTGGGGCTGGCACCAGCCCAGCGATGCCAACGGGCCCTGAGCCAGTGCCCAGCAGCATCAATCCCAGCTCTCCATGTCTAATCCCATGTTTTGGCTGCAGCACACAGAGAAAGAATGGAAAACTTACCTGGCACTCCCCAGCCCTCACACATGAGCACTGAACACCATAAACCGAGGTGATTCCATGAAGCCAGGCCAAGGATGTGCTGCTCACCATGGGGCACAGTGCCAGCACCCCTCTGCCCCCCAGCAGAGGGTTATTCCGCTCTTGTCCCGGCTTTCACATCCATCAGAAGTGAGATCACTTTTCCACATGCCAGAGCTGAGCAGTGATAAATCACAGCCCTGCAAGGCTTTAATAACACTTGCTGGGCTCCTGCTTAGATTTCCTTCCTTTCTGAAGCACTGAGGATCTGTGGCTCGGGTCTGTGGGTGCAGAGGCATGAGACTGGAGCTCAGTCTAACCTAAAGGAGAAAAACCCCAACCCACCAGAGCTAAGAATCTCATGGAGCCACGTGGCTCCAGATGCTGGGGAATGAAAATAACAGCGATTCCCAAAGGACAGAACTCTGTGAAAGCCATGAAGACTCCTGGAATCCAAGGCACGTTCAGCCCCCAAGGCTGCAGATAAGATGGAGCTCACCCCACTGTAGCCAAGGGCAAACGTTTCCCATCGTTCAGGACTACTGGGTTTTAGTCAGTGACTTCCTGACCTTGGTGCATCCGCAGGGCCTCGGTGCCCTGTGCAAAGTGGGGTTCACCCCACTGCAGGCACTGGGCACCACGGGAAGGCAAAAGGAAGCTGCTGTGAGCCACGGGCACGTTGTCATCTCCTCACTGTATTTGCTTCCCAGCCCCTCCTGCATTGAGCACGGACACCCAGAGGGGCACGTTCCAAGGACACACAGGGGTTGATGCTCAAGCTGAAAAACACAACAGGAAGGGAAATGCACCCAAATCCCAGGTGGGATCCAGCCAGGGGCTTGCGTTACTTTGATTCTTGCATGAATTACTCCATGGCAAATTGACGCTGGGCTTTCCCCACAGGCAGAGGGTCCCAGGGGAGCCCCAGCACCCCATGGCACCCAACATGCCCTGGGTACCAAAGGAAACAGCCACTGGAGGGGGGTGAAACCCAGCGTGGGTTTGACCCCCCCCCCACACACACATTATCTGCTGGGTGAAAGAGAATGAAACTCTTTCTGTGCCAGTCTCAAACAGCTTCAGCTCCCCCATTGCTCGGCAGAGCAGCACCTGAGAGCTGGGGCAGGGAATAGTGGGGGCCTTGTCCTCTGCCCCCCATCCCTGCAGCCCCATGGGTACAGGGTGCAGTGATTGTTCGTGCCATCGCCTCCCCAGCACTGCAGCAGGCACTGGGCAGCAGCCAGAGCCCCATCGGGTCCCCAGCGTGCGCTTGAATCCGGCAGCTCCGGCCTTGGTGTTGGGCACAAGAGTGGAGCCCCAGCTCCTCCAGAGCTATCCTTACCTGCAGGAGCCAGGAACAACGGCAATGAGCAGGGAACAGCAGCGCCAAGTCCCCTTGCTTGGAGCAGAACAGGGGCTTCTGTACCCCAGGAGCAGGCTGAGCTCAGAGTGGAAAACCCGACCTGAGCAGAGCTAAAGCACCATGGAGATGACCTGAGGGCACCCACCTGAGTGCCCCAGGCACCAGCTGAGGGGACTCCCCAACGAGCCCCACATGAGCCTCCTCTGGGTTCATTCGCCTTTTCCTCTTCTGCTTTTGGTGCTCTTGGCCCCAGGTGCCCCCATCCCACTGCTCCCAGCCAGCCCCTGTGGTCCCCAGGGGGCTGTGGGTCTCGTTGCACCCACAGAATGCCCTATTTCCCATCAGCAGCATGGGGAGGGGGGGGTGCGTGTCTCTGCTTCCCTTAAAGCCCATTTGCACAGGGAATGCTGAGGCCTGGGATCACTCTGAATTGCCCCTGTTGAGTGAGATGCAGAGATTTCCGCAGGGATGCTGAGCCTGGTGATGCTCTGCCAAAGCACGACTCGCCCGGAGCTGACATTCCACAGCAACGCTTGGCAAGTGATTAATTCATGCTTTGGGCCCTGCCAGAGCAGGATTGGTGCGGGGCTCAGTCATCACAGGCACAGGCTCTGAAAGGTGGAGGGTTCTGGGGGCAAAACACCGTGTGTGGGGTGGCTGCGTGTGGGAGCTGATAAAAGAGGGCCGTGCATCCCCACCTGGTTTCACGGCGTTCACACCAAAACACAGCAGCCAAACAGCCACAAGAGGGTCCCCACTCCCCGGGGACTGCGGTGCATGGGAGAGGAGCATGGCAGGATGTGGTATGGGGGTGGCCGGGGTGTCCCATCAGATGCCCATCACCGGGAGTGGGAAGCAGCCCCTGCACCGGTACTGCATTACAATGCAAATAGTGACACCATTCTTTAGCATCATTAATGCCAAATGAAAGCTCACAATGCCTAATAATTAAAGCAGCAATTTGCCTTGGGGGTGTCCTGACTTCGAAGGTGAACCCCACAGACATCCTCGCATCCGCACTGGCACCATGGTGCTTTGCCAGGCACAACATCCATCATTGTCAGGCTGGACCCCCCCAGGGTGATGGCTCCTGTCCCTGATGCTGAGACCCTGGCCCACCTCCCCTGGCCAATTTGGTGGTGATGAGGAAGGTGGGATGCGGGCTGCACTGAGAGCATCGGGATGCAGCAATGGGCCCCCATCCCTCCCAGCAGCACAGGGTCAGGATGCGCATCCCCCTGGTGGGGTCCTTCTGTGTCCTGGGGGAATGAAGAGGCTGGAGCCGGTTCTTTGAAACTCCAAGCTTTATTCAGTTGCTTCGGCAGCACTGGGCATCACACGAGGGAGGTGGGAGGTGAGGCCATGGGGGGACACTGGTGGCTGGGGGGAGCTTGCTCCGGTCCCCAGGCCCTGGCATGCGCTGGTGGCTTTAGTTGGTGGGGTGGTAGGCGCCGCGCTGGTGCCACTGCATGTCCCGGATGCGCCTGACCGACTGGATCTGGGGGTGCTGAGCCCCGAAATCTGAGCTGTCCTTGTAGTCCCCCTTCTCAAACAGGTACTGGTAGCCCCTGTAACCGGGGTACTGGTATCCCACCCACCTGCAAGGCAAGCAATGGGGTGAGGCTCCCACCCACCCCGGACGATGCTGCTCAGTGCATGATGCTCCAGCATCACCCCGGTCCCGCTGCCCAGGTACTCACGTGCCGCTCTGCACCCGCACGGATGAGACCTTCTCCTGGTACCCATGCGCGTGGAAGCTGGGCACGTCATCGTCTATGATCTCGATCTTCTTGCCAGTGAAGCTGGGGTTCTCGTACAGCACAATCTTGTGCTCCTGGCTGTCCTGCAGCGGGCAGAGCAGGAGCGGGGCTCAGCGGCTGCTGGTACCCAGGGGCAGGCAGGGAGCAGGGGGGGGGAGAAGCCCAGGGCTATGGGGAAACCAAGCGAGGGGCTGGCACCACGGCTGCCCCCCCAGTGCCGGTAGTGCTGGGGCACCTCCAGACTCACCACAGCCGCTGCCCTCCGTCCCCCCACCCGGGGGTGCACAGGGGGGGTCCCCCTGCCCGCGGGGCCGGGGGCGCGGGGAAGGCTGGGGAGCACGCGTGGCTGCAGACCTTGGTCTGGCGGGTGGGTAGAGGCTGTCTGGGTGCTCTCACCACTTTGATGGGGCGCAGGGAGGTGATGCTGTCGCTTCTCCGGCTGTTGGTCCAGGAGTCCCAGCGCGGGTACTCCCCCTTCTCAAACACAAACTGCTCCCCCTTGCAGCTTGCCTGCTCGTAGCCCACCCAGCTGCAACAGAGCAGGGACCAGCTTCAGGTGGGGCAGAGGTGCAGGGAGCAGCACCCCAGGGCTGACCCCAGCAAACACCCTTGGGCTGAGCCCCAGCTGTGTCCCCAGCAGGGCACAGACCCCTCTGCTCCATGGAAACAGCACTGTGAGGCCTGGAAGCAGTGCAAGGAGGGATGCTCTGATGTGGTGGTCACTTATCCTTGGTCCCTGGGGACCTGCAGAAGGATGGGATCTTCCACGTGTCCCCAGTAAGGTTTTGGTCCTGCAAGGATGCTCTGCACTGCCCCATAGGTCCGGCATGCAGCACATTGCCAGGCACAGAGTGCAGGTGAGGAACCTGCCCTGGTGCTTCCATAAGTGCTTCCCAGGGGATCCCCATTGCCCAGAGCCTGAACACGGGGGGCACAGCCCCTCAGAGAGCACACAGCGGGGTCAGCGGGTGGATGGGGAAAGGAGCTGCCCCCAGCAACACCACTGAGGGGATCCCATTCCTGCCTGTGCCCAAAGGGAAGGAGCCCAAAGAGAGGAAACACCGTGATCCATGCCCGCATCCAGCACCCAGCAGGGCTGGCGGAGCCCAGCCTGCCCTGGGGACACTGCCCCCCCCCTGCTCACCCATTGGCACCCAGTGTGGGCACAGCAGCACCGGCCACAGGAAGCCCAGGGTGCTGCCAGCACCGAGACCCCCTCCACACCCCCTGCCCTGCTCCCCGGCACGTACGGTCCGGAGTGCACGAGGATGGAGCCCACTTTGTCCACGCCGGCTTCCTTCAGGTTGGGGCAGGCACCGCTGAGCTCATGGCAGCGGCCCTGGAAGTTCTCCTGCTCGAAGATCGCGATCTGGGGGGGGAAAGGGGACCTCAGCGCAGCCCCCGGACCTCCCCAGGGACCAGGATGGGATCCGCTCCCACCCACTCGGGCTGCACTGGGGTGTGGGATGAGCCAGAAACACCCCCTTGGGTCTGCTGTGCCCTGCTCCCCATCCCCGCATCCCTCCACAGGCTCCGTGGGATGCCGGATGCTGGCGAGGGGCTGCTCCCAGGGGGGGTTTGGGTGCTCAGTGAGGCTGAGGGTGCCTCAGGGCAGAGAGGTCCCGCACTGACCTTGGAGCTGCCTTGCTGCTGCTTGGAGGCTGGCATTTGGTGCTCGGAAGCCATCATAAGCTGGGTTGTCCGGTGCCCTGGGGGGAAGCAGAGCGGGTTGAAAGCTGCCACTGAGGGTGCAGGGCTTGGGCTCCCAGGCACATCCGTACCCCGCAGCTCACCAGGCCCACCCAGGCCACCAGAAACCATTCCCAGGCTCGTGGAGGAGCCCAGGGAACGGTCCTGGGGCAGCATCACCGGTGATGGGACCTGCAGCGAGGAATCCATGGGCCCCGGCGTTCCTGAGCTGTGCCCAGCCCCATGGGCAAGGCTTTTCCCACTGTCCCTGCCGGGAGCAGCCGAGGAGTCCCTGTCCCATGCAGGGCGATGGGGACAAGCTCCGGGGCTCCCACTGTGCATGTACAGGGTGACAAGCACCGAGCACCCAGCACAGCCACTGCCATGAAGCATCCTCATCCCCAAGCCCAGCAGGACCCCCTGTGTCTGAGCAGGCTCCAAACGGCCCATTCCCAACGAGCCAAAACCTGATCCATGGCCGGCAGCGATGCCCCTGCCTTGGTCACCCAGGATGGGAGCATCCCCATGGATCCCCCCCATGCCCGCAGCCGCTGCCACCTCCACAGCTCTTGAGGAGCCCCAGGGTGGAGAGGATGCGAGAACAGGAGAGCAAACAGCAAAGCCTTACCAGTGATACCAGTACCCGCTGCGCCAGTGCGGGGCTGGGGCCGGGAGGTGCCATTTATAGCGGGGCGCTGCGGGACGGTGCCAAAACCACGGAGGGAGCAGTCAAAGCGTGACTCAGAGCGAGAATGCTGGATTAAACCCCTCTGAAAGGCCGGGTCAGCTGATGGGCCCCTGCCTTTGTCTGCGCCAGCCCCACACCCGCAGTTATTCCATTACCTTTCAATTCGCTTTGTTGGCTCGGTGGGGAAGGAGCTTTGCGCTTTGCCTGCATCAGCCCAACGCGTGCCAAGAGCCGGGCGGCCCCCGCGAACAAAGCCCCGCTCCGGGGTGTTTGGAGCCAGGGATCTGATCCCCCCCCCAGCCCCGCGGGCACGGAGCTGCTGAGCTCGGCTCTTCCCGAGTGTGGAAAATGGCATCAAACCAGTGGGGAACGCTCGGATGCACCCGCGGCCACTGGGTGCCAGGGGCTGGTCCCGGGGCGTGATGCAGGGGGCAGCAGCCAGCAGCATCCTCAGCCCGAGCGCTGGCGCCAGGCGTTGGGTTCCTCCGTTATCCCCATGCATTTGGGGTCCCTGAGTCGCACCCCAGGCCCCGGTCCGGCAGCACGGGGCCTGCTCCATCACACCAGGGCATCACCGAGGCCGGCAGCCTGGGATGTGTCCCCAGATCCGAGCTGTGCCCAGCGTGAGCAGCGCTTCCCAAGGGATGAGCTGAGGTCTGAGGGCAGCAGCAAAACCCCTTCACTGGTATCTCACTGCTGGATGACCCAGGGGATGCGTCAGGGCCATGGGCTGGGTTTGGCTGCAAGGGGGGCACGACCAATGCACTCAGACCATGGGTGCTGTGCAGCACCCACAGCCCCCTCCTACCCCTCAGGGATGCTGCATCCCCTGCATCACCCCCGCTGGGGTCATGCAGTGTTAATGCAGCCCAGAACAACTTTCTTGTGCACACAACAGATATGGGTCCTGCAGTAGAGGTGCTGCAGCCCCTCAGTCGCACCTCTGGGCACCAGTGACATGCAGAGGGGTCGGTCCCCATGGTCTGCAGCTGCCCCAGCTCCGGGTGATGGGGCCTCATGGGGCTCCACAACACACAGTGCCATGGGCAGGCTTTGGCACACTGGGGTTGTGAGGAAGCTCCTCCATCGCTACCAGCCCCGCCACCATCCTCCTCCATGCCCTGTGCCTCCACCTGCGGCACCGCAGAGGGATCCAGCTCTGCCCTTCCCATCTTTCAGGGTTAATTCATTGCGGTCCCCAGCCCCAGACCCCCATGGACCTGCCCCAGGTCCCAGCACAGGGCATGTGCATCCCCACGGCACATCCCAGCCCCTTGGCTGATGGATGGGCTTTAGCTCAGCTCCACCTTGGGCAGTGGCAATGGCACAGGCAGCCCCACGGGCTGTGCTGGGAGCAGCCTCAGCAGCTCAGGGCCCTGCAGTGCCCTGTAAGGGATGCACCCCTGGGCCCAAACAGCAAAGCTCTAGGGCAGCTGCTCAGGGACCAGCACAAAGCCCTGCCCCTGCCACTGGGGCAGTGGTCCCCAAGCACAGCTCCCATGGCTCTGCCCCTGTGAGCCAGCTCAGGCACGGCAGCACTGCCCATCCCTGCCCCATCCCTGCCCCATCCCTGCCCCATCCCTGCTCCATCCCCAGGGCACACGGGCCAGGTCTCTGACCTCTGCCTGTGCAACCAGAACAGGCCCCCTGTGCCAGGGCACATCCCCAGGCGCCCTGCAAGGGGATGGGCACAGGCTCCTGCAGGGCACGGCCTCCTTTGGGGTGCACAGGGCCTGGCACCACCCAGGGGTGGTTGCCCCCCATCACTCCTGAGGCTGCCCATGGCGCTGGGCCCCCACCGTGCCCCTTGTGCTGGGCACTGCCCCCATCAGAGCAGGCAGAGCTGAGGGACATGGGGAAGGAGCCATGGCCCAGGGAGATGCTCTGGGAAGGAGCAGAGTCATGGAAAAACCCTTGGGAAGTGCCTGGAGAGCATCCCCCGGGGCTGGGGGCTCAGCTCCCTTTGCAGCACCAGGGGTTAGAGTTGGGGAAGCTGCAGCCTTGATGGAGCTGCAAACGCTCCGCTTATCCCCTGCCCCGCATCCCTCCCGCATCCCCCCCGCACGCCCCAGCGCAGGCGGGCCCCGGCAGCCTCCAGCTCAGCGCTTTATTGAGGGTTTTGCACAACAACGTCCACCACGGTCACAGCAGCACCCGGGGCCCTCGCCCCCCATCCCCGGCAGCGCTGCCCCCCCTCAGCTCTCCTCGAAGCTGCCGCGCTGGTGCCACTGCTGGTCCCGCACGCGGCGCACGGACTGGATGCGGGGCTGGTTGGCGTCCCAGTCGTTCCAGTGCCGGTACTCGCCCTTCTCGAACACGTGCTGCCGGCCCCGGTACCCGGGGTACTCGTAGCCAACCCACCTGCAGGGATGGAGGCTGCGCTCAGCGGGGTCGGGGCACAGCAGCCCCATGGCACATCCCACCCAGAGCAGGAGGGCAGCAGCCCTGTGCCACCCCAGGGACCACGGCAGTGCCGGTGTCTCTGATGGGCCATTGCTCCGTCACCACCCAGTGCTCCCGCAGCCCAGGTGGGATGTGCCATCGTACCAAGAGGAGCCAGAGAGCCCTGCAGCAGGGCAAGGAGCAGGCACACAGCCCTAGGGATGCTGCCCCGGTCCCCATCACTCCGTGTGGACCAGGGAAAGGGTGGCAGCAAGGAGGGAAAAGGGATGTGGTGGGCATGAGCAGCATCGTGGGAACAAGTGGCTCCATCCCTGCTGCTCCAGCATCCCTGACACCACCGGGGGGCACCAACCATAGTGCCACGGGCCAGGACCTCACTGGGGTGCTCCCAGTGCCCCCATCCTTACGTTCCATTCAGGGCCCTGACGCTGGCCACCCGGTCCTGGAAGCCGTGGGCCCAGAGGCTGGGGACGTCGTCATCCACGATCTCCATCTTCCGCCCGGTGTATCCCGCGTTCTCAAAGAGGTGAATCTTGTGGTCGGGGCTGTCCTGGGGGGAGCAGGGGGTCAGGGGCTGCCCTGTTTCACCCCCCCCAGCCCCCTGAGGCCTCCTGCTTGTCCCCAGGGGCACAGAGCCCCCAACACAGCCACTACTCACGATCTGGAGCGGGCGGATGGACATGAGGCTGTCGCTGTTGTGGCTGTTGGACCAGGAGTCCCAGCGTGGGTAATCCCCCTTCTCCAGCACAAACTGCTCCCCGGCAAAGGCTTGGCGCTCAAAGCCCAGCCACCTGTGGGACCGGAACCAGGGGATGGCATCAGCACCCAGGGGATGGCATCAGCACCAGGGGATGGCGCGGGTACCCAGGGGATGGTGTGGGTACCCAGGGGATGGCATCAGCACCCAGGGGATGGCACTGGCACCAGGGGATGGCACGGGTACCCAGGGGATGGCATCGGCACCCAGGGGATGGTGCGGGTACCCAGGGATGGCACTGGCACCAGGGGATGGCATCAGCACCCAGGGGATGATGCGGGTACCCAAGGATGGCACTGGCACCAGGGGTTGGCGCGGGTACCCAGCACGATGCAGCATCGCAGGGGGATGCTCTCCCTCCCCATCCCAGACTTACGGTCCAGACTCCACCTGGATGGAGCCCACCTTCTCCAGCTCCTTCTCGGCGATGTTCGGGAGCTCCTCCGTCAGCTCACACTTCTTGCCCTGGAAGTTCTCCAGCTCGTAGATGATGACCTAAGGCAGCAGAGACGCCATCGGCTGCGGCTGCAGCCCCACTGCACAGGGAGCCCACTGAACCCACTGGGCAAGCACCAGCAGGAGCAGAGGGAAGAGCTCCAGCCGCATCCCCTCTGTCCTGGCTACCCCATGCTGATGCTGCTGCTCTCCTGCAGCAGAGCTGGGCCCTGCGTGTGCCTCTGCCCCAATGGGCTTTGCTCTGCAGCTCTGTACTGGCCAAAGGTGTTTGCTCAGTGAAGCCCAGGCTGATGCTTCACCCCGACAGGCTGGGACCAAGCTGATCAGCTCAAACGCACTGGAACCACAGAGGGTTTGTGCTCAGAGACCTGCAGGGCTGTGGGCTGCAGTCCCCTGACCCCAGCCTGGTCAGGGCTCATCCTTTCCTCCTCACTGCTCCCTCCAGAGCCATTTGTGCCCCTCGTTTCTCGGTGTTTCCTATGAACTCTGCCATGTGCAGAGGCCACAAAAGCCTCTCCCTGCGACCTCCTGCTCTCAGCTGAGCTGCAGGACGGGTTTGAGCCAGTGCCTGTGGCCGGAGCACAGCAGGGAGCAGGGCCCGGGGTCCCCGCTGCACTCTGGGGACCAGGAGGGCCTGGTACCCCCAACCCTGCCCTAACGGGGTCCCAGCTGAAACCCCTGAGCGCAGGACGAGGGCAGAGCCTCCTGCAGAGCCCACCTGCTCTGGGTACCGCGGCATAGAGGTGACACCGTGGTCCTCAGGAGCAATGAGCATCCCCAGCAGCAGCTCTTTATCCCATTCACAGGATGTGCTCCCGGCCAGGATCAGCCTTCCCAAGCCACGGGCAGCGCTGCAGCCATCACAGCCCCCAGAGCTCATTCACCTCCCACACCCCACGAGCACAAGCATCAGAACCAGGAACACCCCCAGGGGGGTTCCCTGCAGCTGGCCCCACTGCGCTCCAGTTAACCCCAGCTCAATGCACAGCAGCCTGGAGCAGCGTCTCCTCCTGCCAGGCAGCAGCAAAGCCTTGGATGAAGCCTCCCCTGGTCCCAGCACAGAGCCCGCAGTGCACAGGGACCCACAGCATCCCTGGAGCCCATCCACAGCCGGCTGCCCCCTGGGTACCTTGTAGGTGCCTCCGCGCTCGCCAGCTCCCTCCCCGGTCACCATCTGCTCGGGGGGACTTTGCTGCTCGGTCATTGTGCCTGGAAAACCCAAAGGGAGGAGGTTAAGGTGGGGATGCAGCCAAGGAAGCGGGCTGGGAGCAGGCAGCAAAGTGGAGTCAGTTCCCCTCAGTGCAGCAGCTGGAAAGCCCCAGGGATGCCCAGGCTGGAAGGACGGGCTCCATTATCCATCCTCTATCCCTCTGGCACACAGGCCCTGCATCCTCACCCAGGCATCACCATGAGGCCAGAGAGCCTAGGACCAAACCAGCCCATCTTCCAAGTGGTGCTGGATCCCTCTCTGTCCCTCACCCAGCTGCTCAACCAAATCACGTCTAAAAGCCCATCCTTGGTTTACAGCAGGGATTTCAGCTTCCAGCTGCTGCCACCTCTCCCCTCTAACACAGATCTGGCATTCCCAGCATCCTGGCTGGTAGGACAACAGCGAGAGCCCATTGCCGCTCTCCAGGAACATCTCCCAAAGCTCCTCCTCAAACAGGAAACCCATCAGGGTAATAGGAGAGGAAGAGGAGAAACCGCCTTGCCCGGGTCCTCAATCCAAGCCAAGCGTTGCAGACGCCAGGACCTTGCCTCAGGCCGCTGCTCCCCTGACGCCCGTTGCAGGCCCGGCAGTGCCGCGGGTACCCCTCCGGTGCGGTTCCGCTCTGCACCCAGCGCCCGTCTATTTATGGGCTGCTTCTGGCCAGGGCAGCAGATTGCCTGGCGCTGATGCAGCAGCTGCGTCCACCGAATTCCACCCAGGAGATCCCAGCTCAATAGCTCGGGCTCGCTGCACACCATGGAAACGGCATTCAGGTGCCCCCGGCGCTGCCCGCACAGGAGATTAACGGGGAAACTCGCATCAGCACGTTCCCACCGCCGCCGGGCAGGGAAAACTCTCCCATCAGCAGGAACGGGCCTGGAAACCAAGCACAGCGCAGAGCAGAAGCATGCAACTGGTCATGGTTTGGGCTGGAATGGAAGGAGAGACCCAGGGGCTCTGCTGGTACCAGGGTTTGGGTTCTGGATCAGTGTTGCCCCTCGAGGGGAAGTTACCTCCATCGAGCTCCTTTTCCTCCTGTACATCCCTGTCCATCTCCCTGCTCCCCAGGAGCATCCCACACACACAGACCTGGGTGTGCTGTTGGGAGCCAAGGGCCTTGCACGTGGGTTCATCAGCCTTTGGAGGTGAAGCACAATCGAACAGGGCAAGGGCAGCCCTTCCACAGCAGAGACCAAGCTGAGCGCCTTCCACTTTGCTGGTAGTGGGCTTGATTCCCTCTTCAGTGGGCACAAACTCCACTCAGCTCCACACCTCTCCAACCACTGCACCTCCTGCAGGGTTTCCCACCTGGGTCTCATCTTGAAGCAAGAACTGCAGAGGAAACAGCTCCCAAAGCTGCCAAAACCCAGGTCCACCTGAAGCCATCAGAACACTGGATGGAGCCCATCTGCCCTGTGCCGCGCTGGGGTGGGCAGAGGGTCTTGGCAAGGTGCAGTGGTCGTGGTGGCTCAGCCCGGTACAAGCCTGTTGGTGGCCGTGATGCTCACAGAGATGCGGGCAGTGCGGTGCTGCCCATCGCCATTGCAGCTCCTCTGCAGGGTTTCACTTTCCCTTTGCACATGAGGCTGTAAAACACCAAATCCCTTCCGCACAGGAGGGCCCCCAAAGGCGAGCCTGGCCTTGGTTGATTTGCCTCCTTCACCAAACACAACAGCATCCGGCTTCTGGCTGATGAGAAGCACAGAACTCTGCCCACCAGCCCCTTCCTGGCCAGCTCTGCAGTGCCCATGAATCTTCCTTTGCACGTTGATAAGGCAATTACAGGAACATGACAGGAGGGGCACCAGATCTCACTGATTTCCCTTCCCAACAGAACTCCATTTCCTTCTGCTGTCAGCCCCTTAAATCCCTGTGAGAAACGGTTATAGTGTTGGAAAACAGATTGGTTTTCCCTAATATCTGCTAAAGCTGGACGGGAATGGGAATGGTATAGTACAATACACAGCAGCCAGAATATCTTTATTACTTAGGAAAGTACGTAGTACAAAATATTCTCTAGAGCACAATATATTTATTGTGACCCATATTTACATAAGCTATAAGGCTATGTGGAACAATATAAAATGTTAATCTATACAATAGCTCCTTTAAAAACAGGCTTCATACCATTGTGTTTAATAGATACCATCGTGTTCTATAGACTGGTTTGGGTTAAGGGACCTTAATGCTCATCCAGCTCCAACCCCTGCCACGGGCAGGGACCCCTTCCACTGGAGCAGCTTGCTCCAAGCCCCTGTGTCCAACCTGGCCTTGAGCACTGCCAGGGATGGGGCAGCCACAGCTTCTCTGGGCACCCTGTGCCAGCGCCTCAGCACCCTCACAGGGAAGAGCTTCTGCCTAAGAGCTCAGCTCAGTCTCCCCTCGGGCAGGTTCAAGCCATTCCCCTTGGCCTGTCCCTGCATCCCAGCCTGTGCTGGCAATCCCATGCTCTCCAAGGCTTCACTGATCACACAGAGGACACCACATGGACCACCAGAGCTGTGGATACGCGGCTCCTCTGGCTCCACAGCATCCAGTTAAATGTCTGCCAAAGGTTCTCTCCCATCCTACTCACAGTAACACAAAGGGCAACGACTCTGCAGTATCAGCACCAGGATTTTCATAGAAAGGGGGAAAGGCTTCGAGACAGAAGCACCTTTCACCGGGACACAGACTTGAACACGCTGTATTTAAACTATTTATATGATATTTGCCTTAGAACTGCCCTGATCCCCACTAAGCCTTCTTGCTCTCCTTTTAACACCCAGACATCAAACCACATCCTCGCTGTAATACCTAAGCCAGGAGGCCCATTCCAGTGTGTTTGCACAAGTCCTAAAGGTTATGAGCGAACGGATCTGCTCCTCCAGATGAAAGGGCCAGGTGAGGGTTTGCTTTCTGAACGTGCCACACAGCATTTAACAGCTCCCCAATAACTGTTTGCAAACAGAGGGTGAACAAGGTTTGTGCAAGCAGCAGGAGGGGGCAGTTCCTATAGGGGCACTTCCAGCCCGCAAAGGCTGAAGAGCAGAAGCGTTGCCTTCCTCCACAGGAAGTAAAACCAAAGCAGCTCAGGGCTCAAATTCGAGCTGCACAGACCTCAGAGAGGTGCATCTGCGAGCAGGAAGATGACAGGGAAGGAATCCACAAGTGGGACTGCAATGAAACAGAACGGGATGGCTGGGTAAATCCCCCCACCGAACTGGAGGGATTCCTGGTAAGAACAAGAGCAGTGCAGCAGCAACGACTTCTGAATTCCACACACTTTGACTCTTACAAAGCATTGGGTAGAGATGCTGGAGTGCCAGGATCTCCATCACGCTTGTTATTACTCAGCCTCTGTTAGGACAAGAGCTGGATCCTGCACTAAGGCAGGTTCCAGTAACTCAAGAGGAGTCATCCCTTAAGTGCTGAGGTCAAGAGCTCGCTCCCAGCCTATCTTAACAGCAAAAGAACTACGTGGCAACAAAAGCAAGAGCGTAACAAAGTCAAATAAGCATTATTTGGAATCAAAATAGAATTATATAAAGTGTATTATAGAACGTTCTATCAGTTAAGTAGTAATAACAGATTTATATATCTTTTATTACATAGTGATAACCTGAAGAGAAGGGAGTAGGTATTTAATCCGTGTACAACATAAAGAAATGATAGAGCAGAAAAAACACCTTCCCATTCAACAACATTCTAAAGATGCTTTTTAATTAGACATTTAAGCATTAAACATTTCTCAGTAGTAGGTTAAACTACTAAAAATACAGTAAGGTTCAGTGCATTGTCCAAGCAGATGTGGAAATGCATACACATTCAAAGGGCTTTGTGGAAACCTGGTGTTAATCCCCTCAGGTTCCTCAAACACAGAGCAAACACTTCAGTTACACACCTTCTGGCCCTCATTTATGAGACCAAGAACCAGTAAATCCTCCAGCTCTTGGTAATGCAACACTCTCAACCTGCTGGATTTGAACACGGAGCCTGGGTAAATACTCTGGTGAGCAGGGGGAATTTACCTGATTTCTAGGTACTGTTTGAAGTCAGCCCCACTTCATCTGAGTAAGCAAAGCATCGCTGCTCCTCTCACACCCGCTGATGGAACTGATGGTACCCTTGAGTGCTGCCATCACAAAACACATCCCAAAAGACACACAAGCGAAGCTTCAGAGTCACCATTTCCACCATCAGCTAAAGAAGAGGGAGGGAATTATGTGCAACATGGTAAAGTGAGCTGAGAGCAGCTCTTTAGTCGTGGTTGACCGCATCCAAGTGGAAGCCCATCTTGTGGCCCAGGTTAAACCCACACAGAAGGAAAGGCTTGGCAGAAATCTGGGGTGATAGTTTCTTATCTGGCAGGAGAAGGGGCTGTGAAACCCTAACACTGCAACAGCTCCAATGTGAAATGGGGCAAAGCAGCAAGGAAAGGCTTTTTTTTCCCCTAAAAGAAACATATTCATTTCATCTCCATTAAGTACAGGGAGCTGCTATCGGAACTAAATCTGGGAGAGAGATCTGGGCATATGGGACTTGTCTCTTGACATACTGCTGTCATTTCCTACGAGCAGACTGGGACTAAAATTCCCCTCCTCTATGACTCCTCCATGAGAAGAATTGGCACATGGTTTTGGCAGCTACAAGCTTGCTAGCCAGCAGAGCAGGCATGCCACTGTGGCTCACAGATGCACCACTGTGGTAACCCCAGGAAGATCAAGCTTCCCGAAACGCTGATTGTAATAAAAGGAAAATGAGTTCAAGTGCTGGTGCTTTATCATTAATATCCAGAGAAACCCAAAAGCAGGACACGGGGAGGGCAAAGGAAGGAGCAGGCATTCGGGCTGACACGACAGAATAACCTCCCTCAAGGGGCTACAGCTTGGAAAGGTTTACTGGAAAGAGCACTTATTTGGGGAGAGAATAAAGCATGTCTGACATGGACACCTGGGTTGCTGTTTCAGAATCTGTATTCAAAGATATGAACATACTTGAGATATCAGTGGTCTCCGTAACACCCGTGTTGTGCATGAGATCTACGCCGCTATTAGAACATCGGTCTTAGCAACAGGAAAGGAAATGATCTGAGAAGCTGAAGATCACATTGAGGTTATCCCATAAAATCAGCATAAAAATAAAACCTTGAACCTGGTATTTACAGACTAACAAATAAAACTATGAAGTGGGACTACCCAAACTGCTATTAAAGTGACATTCAAGAATTAACTGGAACCCTGATATGAGTGTAACATCCTCCCTCTTCCCTTCCTTTTTGCTATAAAAACAGTATTTACACAGTTATGGTTTTCAGAGAGAACTGGTTGACGTTATTGCTCGATCCTCTTTAGGAAGGACATTCCAAGGAAGCAATTATTCCCCATGCTGACAGAACACCGAATATACCATTTCCTAGTGACAGAAGTCAACCTCGTGTCCGTCTAAAAGTGACCCCGTCTGCTGGCGCAGCAGATCACA